GTTAAACTCATTTATAAATAAATATTATTTTATGAATTAAATATAAAATTTAAGTCTTAAAATTATTATTTTTAATTTTTAATTTTAGAAATTTAAATTTAATTGTTCATTTTTTATTTTTTAAAATAGTATTTAATGTTGTTACTCATGTTTTATTCTTATTTTTAAAAAATAATTACAATATATATTCTATATTAAATAAAAAGTCTTATTTAAGAAGTGATTAAATATAAATAAATATAAATTTTTATTAATTATTTATTTTATTTTATTTTATTAGATGAAAAGATTAAATTTATTAAAATTAAATAATAAAAAAAACCGAGGAAGTAATCATTGATCAATAATTTTTCCATAATTTGTGCCCAAAATCCTTTTTAGATTTTACATAAATAACTATAAGAACTTTTCATGTGAAGCTTCAAAATTTAACGTTGGAAAATTGGGGGAAAAAGGGGATAGACACACTTTTTCTTCATTAAAGTTTTTCTAACTTGAACTTTAATGCAATAAATATATTTTTAATCTTTAATTTATATTAAAAATATAAAAATTAATGTTAATTCCGATATTAATACCACTTTAATAATTTTAATTAAATTAAAAATTAATTTTTTAAATATAAATTAATTATAAAATACAGTAATTATGTCCTTAGCTAAAGAGAGGTTAAAAAAAAAGTGGTGCTATAATTAAATAAGTGAGTGTATTTAATATTATAAGTCTCACATAAATGAAAAACTAATTATTTAAATGACAGTTAAGTTATATTAAAAAGGAAAATGATATTTGTATAACATTTTTATTTTATATTTTTATACAATTTAACGTATCATTAAAATAATTAATTTTTTTAATTTATGTTAAACTTATGATATTAAATGCATTCACTTATTTAATGATATGAAAAAATTATATAAAAAATAAAATAAAAAATTATCTCAATAGCACTACTCTATTAAAAATTGGTATAAAAAATTTATCTCAAAATCATTTAAAAAAAAAAAACCTTATTTTGTTTTTCCAGTATAACGCTGGTCGTATTTGGTACTAGATTGACCGCAAATATTGGACATCCATCCATACTCACAAAATTCTGCATGAATGTAGCCTAAAATTGCGGCCATGATAGAGATGCGGCGTGGGCTTTATCTACTCTACTCACCACGTTTTCCTTTCATATTTTGGGTACTTACCTACTCCCTCCGTTTTTGGTAGATGTATCAAAGAGCTTAATTTTTTAGAAAGTAATTTTATAAAAAAAAATTAAAGGGGTGGAAGAAAATAAGGAATTTTAATAATTAAAATATTAAGATTGATAGTAAAAATTAAAATATAAAAATATTTAAAAAATATTT